GGCCTCCGGGACTGGCTGCTGGGAAGCCCCCGGCAGGGCAAGCGCTTACGGCGTGATTGTAAGCGCTTTGCGGGGGAGGGAAAAAAACCAACCCCAGCACAGGAGCGCCGGGCGCGGCAAAACAGCCAGCACCTATTACCGCAAATTGTGCCCGATGCCTTTTCTAGCAACAGGACCTCGCATCCAATTGTGACCACTGTAACTAGGGACATTAGTGCAGGTGGGTTCCTCATGTGCGTATGGACTTACTGAAATGAGAAATAGTTACCATCCTGGCTTCCCTCAAATGCAAAGCAAAATGTAATCATTCCTCTTGTTATCCGTGAATTCACATCTCATGCTATTCCCAACCCTAAATCCTTATATTACCAGATGATGCTTTACACTTTACGGCCTTTGAAGCCGTTTGCGCTGCACAGCGAACCCCGGGTGTATGATTTGCAGCTGGTGATTACTACAATTCACAGTGGCCAATATGAACAATACCATTACATGAGCAGGAGGCTTTTATCCAGTGGCAGGCTGAATAGTTTTACCAAAGTAATGACACAGAATAGCCTCTGTTCTGTGCAACTTTCCAGCTTGAGTTGGCTTTAAGAAAACTCAAAGCTTATTGGAAAAGCACTGAAAGCTGAAAATATGAATTTTATTCCAGACCTACCTGGACATTTATTTCCATTTAAGTGAATTGTTTGCATTTCTTTTGGGGTGAATTATGCTTACAATGAGCATCCAGTTGTCATTTCCTGTGCTGGAAAGTCCCACTGGAAAAGTACCTTTGCCATGGGTAAGAATACTACCTTTCCTGTTATTAAGATGAAAATAAGCCTCCAGTTATGTATGACATTTGTTTCAATTATAGCTTGCCTCTTGTAAACTAAGCAGTTAATCAGCAGGCTATGCTATGACTGCACCCTTAAATCAATAGCTGGGAATACAGCATCTCCCCCAAATTCCCAGCTTCTGCACTACGCTCTTTGAGAGGAGAACAAGCCCGAGTTGTGATGTTCCATCCTGCTGGCTAATTTATGGACACTGCAAGCTGGAATATTTTAAAACCAGACAATTGGTACAGGGTTAAACATCAGCCAAGCTCAAGTGCTGTTCGATTTACAGGATGTTAAGCATTCCTGAATCTGTGATCACTGATTCATTTGGGTCAATCAGATGTCTTGTTACTGCTTTGCAGACATTGCAGTGAGCAGCTTGGAGATAAATTAGAACAGTCTCCAGGCTTCTCAGACCTATATTGGGGAAGGGAGCGTTGGCCACCGTCCAGACCCAGAATCCTAGCAAGTGTAAAGATAACAAAATAATTCCTCGCTTCCCTCTGTCACTTCTTATGTTAACTTGATTTTAGCTGCCTTACAAAGCTAGAGAATACCTTGTTGCTAGTGCGTAGCACTGATCTTAGCAGCAAGGGTTTTTCTTCCTCATTCCTCTCCCTGACCCCAATACCTTCTTAGCGATGTGGGATAGGAGTCATTATAGACAGCAGCGGTTTGTCCCTTCGATGACAGAGGAACCAGGGACTGGACAG